CCCCTAATATGTGAGGTATGCCAACATAGGTTCTTTGACAATAATAATAATAAGGTTTACTTACCGTTGTACTAAAAATTAATGTTGTAGTTTATTTATCAAAAAAAAAAAAAAAAAAATTAATGTTGTAGTAAAAAGATTGGCTATATTAGATTTTGGAAAAAAGTGAATTTCTTGTATGGGGTTCAGAGGTTGACTGTTATTCCCAGATGGTTTTTAATTTTTGCAGAAAAGAAAATAGTGTTTGACATGAATTAATGCTCTCTTTACCTTCTCTCACAATGATGGCTCTGTTACCTTATGGAGAGCTTGTTTCTAGTGGACACAGGATTTTTCGTGTCAAATGGCCAGAATTTAGGAATTCATTTGAGTTGCTGTAACATTTTTGTAGGTTTTTTTTTAATTTTGGCCGTTGAAACACAGTGGGTGCTTAGGTGGAGTTAAGCCTTTGCAGAGTTACTTATTTTACGAGTGGAATTCCAATGCCTGTCCATGTTGATTTCACAATGCTAGATTTCATTTCTAACGAGTAGCATTTCTATTCCTTGCTTCAGGTTTAATGGTTATCTTAGGGTTTATACTAACTCATACCCTAAATTCATTTTTTTTGGTCACATGGAATTTTGTGTTATACTGATTCTTGAAATATGCAAGTCCTAAAGATTGCCAGTTCGAAACTTTTCATCATGATGCCTTTATTTTCTTGTGTTGTGAGTGAATTCCAAATTTGGTTATTTTTTCGTTCTTTTTTGTTTAATGATGCATGGTTTTGGTTTTCTTGGTGTTCAAATCCATTGTATTTCTAACTAAGCAGAACACTAATGTATGTGCAGGCATGAAGTCTTCCTTGGTCAGTTGGTATAAAAAAGTAAAAAAGTAGTCCACCTACCTCAGCTTTGCGGCCATTTGCATCCTTTCAAGGTGTTTGTTATTCATTGGAGGTGCAGCACTTTGTTACATGTAAATTGATTTTAGATCAAAATTTGTAGAATAGTAATCTTTGTCGAGGCCCAATTCAGTGTTTTAACACAGATGGATATCCCATGCTTTTGCCTTTTCCATAAGTTTTCTTTCTCTTCATATATGTTTTTTTCTTTGACGTCAGAGTAGGTATTTAGATCAACATAAAATATAGTTGATTAATATTGGCAAATTCTGCTGTAGATATGTGCATTAGGTGAGAGTTGTAGCTATTTTGCTGAAATAATAGTATATGTTTGAACATATAATTTGTTTTGTGTAAGATGTTTTTCCTTGTGTTTTCGCAGAACTCTTTGATGTATTGGTTGATTCACACCCAAACTTGTTAGTGCTCTGTTTGTTTTCCGGATTAGTTTATGGGGATTGAATACCATGAAATATGAGGGGGATAATGTAATGCCAAGGAATAGTAAATGAGATTATATTGTGATCAAATTGCCTGGCAACTGTTAGCCTTCAATGCCAATTCAGCTTTGTGTATGTCAAAGTATTCAGCTTTGTGTATGTCAAAGTCGTTTTAACATCCTAATAACTATTTATAACTATTAGCTATCGAGACGAAGCTTCTCTTTGTGGGCCACAAAATTATTAAAGGTGACCAGAGAATGTTGGAGATTCCTAAAACATAATTTCTAAATTCACTTAAAATGATGTGGCAGAAAGTTGAGTTATGGTTGATTATTATCAAATCAATAATTTAGATGGAGTAAATGTGGGTAAATTTAGGGATTATGTTTTTTAATTTTTTCCTACTACTATATATATTGAAGGGGAAGAAGCTGTGAGGGTGCTTGAGTTATTTATCATGTTGAATTTTAAAAGGAATGTACAAAACTGGGTGATGTTATATAGAGACATATATAAAAAAAATATTTGGCAATATATGAGAGGAGTATTAAGGCTAACTTATCAAATCAATAATTTAGATGGAGTAATTGTGGGTAAATTTAGGGATTATGACAGCCTAGTGAATATTGTTATTATTATTATTATTATTATTATTATTTAATATCTATATAATAGAACAGGTCAGTTTTCAAAAATATCTTAGGTTTGAAAGTTCGGAATTATTTTCAATATATATTGTGAAATCTATATAGTAATTAAAGGGTATCCAATTCAACAGTGGCAATAAAAAAAAAAAATTGTTTCCACAATAGTTGATGTGAATTCTAGGAAAAATTTAGCACCACTGTTTTCCAATCACTAGTAGTGTGACCCTCAAAAAAAAATTAAAAAAAAATAATTCTCTTGATACTATTTGTCAAGGGTAATTTTATAATTTGCATATGGTACAAAATTATAAAAACAGCAGATAGAGAGTGATTGAAAAGAGGAATTAGTCATTAGTTTTGACTTCCTTTGTACAAACACATAAGAAAATACATTATCCATGCAACTCATAATACTCACACCTCACATCACATGTTACAAAACCACAATTCTAAGAACGAATTATAGAACATTTAAGAAGAATAAAGCCTTTCAATACAAGCATTTCTCAGAGCAGAGAATTTAAGCACCCAAAAAAAAAAATTAAAGAAAAAAAAAACTATTATAATATCCCTGCCTCCCTCTCCACAAATGAAATTCGTCATCAAACAATTGAAAATAATATTGGTGAGAATAAACTCTGAAGCCATATATTTCTGTACAATCTTCTTACAACTATATATATAAATCATATACCGGTTTAGTTCCCGCTCCTAATTAATAGCAGTGAGAGGAACTCTGGAATCTCTTATAGAATAGGGACTGTCAGGAGAACCTAGAATATGTTTCAAATCGCCGTTGGTTTGCTTTGAAGATTTTGCATCCCAAAATGAATTCAATAACTCTTCGAAAGAAGGGGTTCTCAGTTCTTCAATGGATACGGTGCTTGGCAAATTGAATGACCTCTTTCTTGGAGTTGAGCATGATGGTTGATCCACCTGTTGATATAGAACAGAGTATTTAATTAAAGCATAGAATATATGTTATAATGTATAATTTTGTTGAAAAAGACTGAATTTTAAAATAGGATTTATGGTTACTAGATAAATAAACACAAGGAGAAATTAAAACACTTTCACCAAATCATACAAATGCCACTTGAGAATTCTTACCGAGTATTCATCTAGAAGACATTTTCCAGCATTTTCTGTGATCTGCACAATCTTGTGGTAGTGTCCACTCTTTAATTCCCTCAACTCTCCACAACAAGGAATAATCATGGAGTCGAGATTTCCACACGCGTCATGGTCAAGTTGTAATGAATCTGTGCAAGTGTTCATTTCAGTTGAATGAATTGTGCTTTCATAAATGGAAGAAATTACCAAAATAAAATAAAAATTCAATCTATATATGCAGAACCAGATACTTACGATCAATAGAGGAAAGGAGATTCTTGCTTGCAACGTCTGCATCTTCAAGTGCAGATGACACAGCAGAAGAAAACCGGGCACGTAGGTTTTGATTGGCTTCCATTCCTCCCCTAATAGAGAAAAACAAAAAGGATACATAAACATTAAATAAATAAATTCACTAAACCTCTCTAACAAAAAAAAAAACTAATATAAACTTTTGTAAGGATGTCGCTGACCTGACTATTTCATCCAGGGAAGCTACATTGTTCTTCTCTAAACCAAGCAATGAATCTTGAGCATTACTCCATTGTTGTGTGCCCATCTTTGCCTTTTGCAAACTGCAATTTTATTTATTTATTTATGTTAATTTCACTTAGTAGACTGAAGAAAAATTAGATAAGTAGGAATAATAAGAATGTAGGGCAAGTCGCATATACCAGCTCTGGAGGATCTCTGCAAGGTCTTTCTTTCCGCTTTCCACTGCAGCAGTATCCTCAAGGTAGTGAGTTTCAGCTTTTTCCATGTAAACCGTCCATTCAGCTTTAACAGAAGAACTGGAATCTTGCATAGTTGACATTTCTTGCTGTAATCTGCTGGTTCTACTGGCTGCACTTTCCCGAAGGCCATGAACTGCTGTTTGAACCTAATGCATAAAGAACAAAGAAGTTTAGATAGTTCACCATCCTCTAAGAACATTTACCATGAATTATGAGAACATATTTTAGTACTGGAACATTATAATTGAATGCACTAAACTAACAGGAATTTAAAACGAAACAATGTGCAATAATGGAACGGCAATTATTGGAGGAAAATCATACATAGATTGAAATTAGTGGTACTTTTATTTATTATTAAAAAAATTATGAAGATAATAAGAGTACCAATTGCTATTCTTTGTATAATCTTCTGGGTCACCAAAATACATTATTCATTTTCTTTTTAAACCACCTCGCAAAACATATCTAAAGCAGTAGAAACTGATCCTTTCATGGTAATTTTGCTTGGATTTACACTGGTTGCTACCCATAGGCAACCCCCCCCCCCCCCCCCCCCAACAGCTTATATAAAAATGAAAGATATACTTTGAAATTAATTTGAGGGAGAAATGAGTTCCAGCCTAATTACATAGCGTAAATAACTAGAAACTGAGATTCTGCGAATTATCCAAACCAGCAGAACCTGTAATCAGTTGTGATAAGAGTTACAAATAACCAACAGCAAAATATTTACTGCTGTCTTGAGACAATGTATATGCTTGAAATTGACACTTTACTATTGGTCACTAGCAGTATGCAGTTCTCTGAGAGAATAGAGTAGGAAAATGCAGTGACTTGTACTACAAACAAATTTCCTTTGTTTGCCCCTTCAAGACAGGACTAGTACATGTCTCCCTTGGGAAAGATTTCAGCATTCACAGGCTGTTAAAGGTTTCATGCTTGGATATACTTGAAGCTATGGGTGAAGTCACCAGTGACACACAACTACAAGTAATGGATACAGATCAATTGATATATATTGTACTGGAATATAATGATGATAAAAGGATAGGCGAAATACCAGCTTCTTCTTCCTTGCATTCGAACTTGCGAGCAGTTCTGCAACCTTTTCTAAGAGTTGTCTTTCTTCATTGGCAGCACACTCCTAAAAAAAATAAAAATATCAAGAGTCAAAACCTAAAAAGGTAAGTCATTTTGTACTAACCCAAGCAAAAGAATGACTCTGATTAAAGTCTTTAATCACCTCAAATTTCTTTTCTAGCTCAGATAATTTCTGATCATTCACTGTTTGTGCTTCTTCCACAATTTCGCTCAATTTTGAGGCATGCATGTCTAACGTCTGGAAGAAGTTCACAGTAATTTGCGAAATTGACCGAGTGGTTGCCACAGCTCTGGAATGTGCCTGTACATTTTTAAAGAATGATATAAGGGACTAGTAAGTGATGGCCATCAAAAACACCTCCAAATATACTTGGTTAAACAAATACCAACCTCACGCTGTTGTTGTCCATATGCAGTTAATTTATCTTCCTGACTGTGAAGACTATTTTGAAGATCATTCAGTAATATATCAGCTTCTGAAGCAATTCCTTTGAAAAGCTGCATACATGAATAAAATTAAAAAAAAAATGCCAAAAGGACAGTATTTTGGCAAGGTTTTCTGTGTGTAATAGAAAGAAATGCATACATCCTCAAGAGCTGATGAATGTTTAGAAACTTCAGAATTCAGATGCCCAAACGTTGACCTAGAATTTTGGTCAAGCTCCCCAGCTAAATCATCCAAAGCTTTGATACCAGAACCATACATATTTTTCAGCTTTGCTAGCCGGCCTCGAAGTTCTTCAGTAGCCTACAGGATTGCCAAAAGTGATTAAATGTATCAATTTAACAGACAATTATGAAGCCTACAGAAATTTTCTTGTATCCAATCTTAATTATACCTCTGCCTTTGTGGATACAAAGGATTGCATGTCTTCCTCCATGTCTTTCAGTTGCTGCTCTTGTTGTGTGACAGAAGCTGCCACTGTCTTATGCAAGGTTTCAAGCTGTTGAGTTAAGTCGGACTGGAATTTATGGATAAGAACTCTGTTTCCATCTTCTATTTTATCCTTGCGCTCTGAAAAACAAACCAGGATCAATAATGTAACATCATTTATCTTTAAGCATAAAAATGCTTTAATCCCATTAAATTTCTTAAAAATTAGCATACAAACCAATCTTAGTGAATAAGCTAGAGACATCTGATGCAGCATTCTCTAGCTCCTCTCGAAGCTCAAGTGCCCGCTCAACGAGTGCTTTCTCTGACAAAACAATAGATGCGTTGTCAGAAAAATAATGTAAATGATACCAATACAATAATGTAACAAATAAATTATGCAGTTACGGTACAAACTGCGTCAACAAGACGGAGACTAGTGAATCAGTGCAGGCTGGAATACCAAGACAAGGCAAACGATCCCATCAGACACCAGTAGGATTAAATACAAATCATACTCTTGAAAAATTGCAACATCCCAATCCTTTAAATATATATATATATATACAATTCAAACAATGAAGAATTGATGATCTAGAGTATGCCAGAACAAACGGGAACAGATAGAAATCTGGTGCACATGGATACCTCAAGATTGTCTTGTGCAGAATATAAGTTTGCATGAAGTGCTATACAGGTTGACAAAATTTGAATATAGTAAATAAGATGAGACTTTGCTCACCAGACTTGAGAAGATTGGATATCAAATATTCCCTTTCTTTAATTGTTGCATTTGCTTGTCTGTGTCTTTCTTCGAGATCAAACAGTGCATGCTCAGTTTCATGTAGATTTTTCTGAAACAAGGGGGAAAAAGGAAAGAATGAGAAATACAAGAGAGAAAAAGCAAAAGTGCACATTCATAATTGTAAAGGTAAGAAAATCTGGGTATATAGTCCAATTCTATAATACCTCAGTTTTTTCAAGTTTATCACTTAATTCTGCAGTCAACAGCTGCTGAGAATTGTAAAGTTCCTGCAGCTGCATCAGATGCTGTAGAAGGCACAACAAGATAATTAGACAAAACTCTCAATGGAAATCAGGAAAAACTTGTAGGCAAATAATTCCAAATTTAATTGCACCTTGTCTCTGGATTCAAAATCAAGTTCCATGCGCTCTATTTTCTCAGTCATGGCCTGAAAAAGGGGATAACCGGAGAGAATTAATGAAATTTCCACTTCACTGAGAAGCTCATAAAATTACATGACCAGAGAACTGGTGTCTTCGGCTTAGTGTTAATATGGCAGTTTATTGGAGCGACCGCTCGAGTTCAAATCCCATTAACTAATAAAAAATAAAAAAACCAAATGACCAGAACTGAACCTTCTTCTCTGCTTCATCCTGAAGATAACGTTCTCTTGGTATATAAATACCATTCTTCTCTCTGGCAGCATATACCTCTGGTTTGAAATCAAAGTGGCATTAGAATCATATAAATTACATGGATATGCATTTTACTATTCTGTGAAGTATACAGCTGGATATGCGTGTACTCACACCCACACAGCAGTTACCAACCTTGCTTAAGCCGGTCAATTTCAGAATACAAATCCTTGATAAGTGCAGATTTCATCATCTTCTGATTAACCTGGAATAGTAACCAAGTAAAACTATTACAACAATGTCTTATGGGTAAGTTAGG